AGGATTTGGGATATTAATTACACCCTCAAATCCCTTCACAGCAGCACCTCGGTTTGTGGTCAGTTAAATAACTGGGAAGTGATACATATACAATGGGAAGGTGTAGTATCTTGGGGGCATGAATAGCCCCCTGGTCATCTCTAAAGCTGTCTCCATCATCTATCCCTCCCACAGCTGAACATCCCCTCACCAAAAGTCAAAGCAAGGAATATATTACCATTTCACTTTTATTTATGTATAGGGGTTACGTTTAAATGTTAAATGACATGTTTGTTACTTTGAGGATTGTAGTTGAGATAACTGAGGACCAGGGAGATGAAATTATTAGCTTAAAATAACATGACATCACTGTCTCTATGTTCCAGGCTTGAGGTTCTTATCAAATCTTAGCTTTTGAGCTCTACAATGTATTATCACCATTTCTTAGTTTAATTTCATACTTCAGAATTTCTAGGAAGACTTATAGACAGATACCACAGAAAATCATAAAAGACAATGGCTTTCCTATTACATAGGACATGAAAAACAATTCTTTTTATATCAGTAGGACTACCTTGAGAAAAACATTTATGTATACTTTTCTGTAGGGGTATATTTTTAAAAATTTTAACTACTGTAATTCTTTATGTAAATTCAATAAATGTAATTCAACCAATCTTGAAGTTTTAAAATTTAAGGCAATATTTCATTTGCTATTTGCATGTTCCATGTGGTGGTTAATGAGGATGTACATGTGTTTCTGGACTGACTTTTAGTCAGTGCTATTGTTTTAAATTTTCAAGTAGATACTGTCTTCCCATTGTCCTGTTTTTTCTTGCCTAAGGTGTGACCGTACTTCATGATCACCACAACATGGCTGATCCAAGTGAAAAATGTTGAAGGCACATCTAATGTAATATAGAATTAACCAAAAATACTCCAAGTTTTCATTAATCAAAAAAGCATACTTTAATCTTCATGGGATCAAACAGACTCCATTTTAACTCACTCTTCTCTCAAAGTTTTAAATCCAGCTGAAGCTATTGAATGGATGCTATCTGCAGGAACAAATGATAATTTCAAAACATGAAAAATGGAATTTCAAAACTCATTGAAGGTCAAAAGGAGAAATGAACTCTGGGTAAGACCTCATTTTACAAATAAGGAAAGTGAATCCCAGAGAAGTTGAGGAGTATACAAGTTGTATACATCCTAGGAGTCTACAACTTGAGAAGTCATACAACAGAGGTATGGATATGAACCTTTTGGTTATAAATCTAGTATTTTTTTGGTGGTGCTGGGGATTGAGCTTAGGGTTTGAGGTTTTTAGTGTTCTGTCACTTGAACCATGCCTCCAGTTCTTTTGCTTCTTAGTTCATTTTGTTTTTTAGATAGAATCTTGTGCTTTTGCTCTAGTGACCTTAGAATATGATCCTCCTACCTCCACCTCTCAAGTAGCTGAGATTACAGGTATATACTACCACACATGGCTGTAAATCTAAGATTCTTAGCTGTCCCTTAATAGAAAATGTGTTGCAAGCAGTCTTTCACAAGTACTGTCATTTTTATAACCATGAGAATTGTTTGGATGCAGAGGTATTAGAAATAGAAGATGATTTGAATTTTATTGACCCCCGCCTATTCTAAAAAGTGGCATCCTTATCCCTGCTCTCATCACCCCAAATCTCTCTTCTGAGCTCTTCTGCTATTCCTGTGATCCTCACTCACATAAGCTGCACATAATCTTTTATTTATTTTTTTGCCTGGATCTTTATAGCATCTGCCAAGGTCAGTGTTCTGTTATTTCAAGGAATGAGGTGATGTAACTGCAATAATCATTTGTGTGAATGTAGACCAACAGAATACTTCTGGAGTAGAAATATATTATCTTTGACACTATTTACATATTCTAGAAAATTAAGATAATAAAAAAATCAGACTGACTTTTAGTCAGTGCTATTGTTTTAAATTTTCAAATAGATATTGTTCTCTGTGATAGTGACTTAGTTTACAAGAATACCATAAGAACTATTTACATCTTTAAGCCTTCAGTTCTTTAGAAAGTGTCCTCATTAGAGGAGAGAGGGAGAGAGAAAAGCATAGCACAATGATAACATTTGAAAGTACACATTCTTTTGACATTTGAAATTATATATTAAATGTATGACATGTCTCAAAAGTATCACAAGGTAAACAACTTTGGCATACAGACTGATTGTTAAAAGCTAGAATCTTAGGAACGTATCTGAGCTTGAATGGAATTTTTAACTTAGTGAGTTCCCATGAACAAAGACACTTTAGTTTTGCATGACACCCAGCTCATAGAGAACAAAATTTGACTGTATTTTAGATAGAAGTAGGGCTGAACAAGAACTGAGAAAACTTGGGTCAAATCCGAACAGTGCAACCATGGCAAATTACCTAATGTGAATAAGCATCAGTTCTATCCATCCAAAGGATGGAATTGAGGAGAGCTTTTACCTTAGCGAGTAATTGTAGGGATTAAAATCAGTCAGTAACATAAGGGGCTTAGGTCTGGGCTGGAACCCATTAAACACTCAATGTTTACCACTACTATTGTTATCACTAACCAGTGGCTAAAAATATAAAAATTTTTAAAGTTTTTTCTTACACTCAATTCTTTATATTTTCTGTTTCTGTCAAATATGAAACAAGAGAACACTGCTACAGGTATTTAATGACATAATCTCAACTTTATTGTGATTAAGATTTTCATTTAGCAAATTTCTCCAAGGGCACTAGATGGCGACCTTCTACTTTAAGAAACGAAAAAAAAATCTAAGGTTTCATTAATACTTCTGCTATGACAGTATCACTGCTACCGATTTAGAGAGGTGAGCAACAAGGGTAAGGTCCTATCATTGAGGACTGCAGAATCCTAGAACTTCTAGATTTTCAGGTTTCAAGCTAGAAGCAGGATGGTAGGGCAAGGACCATCACGGCATTGGGAGCCCTGGACTCAAACTTCTGTCCTTGTGTGATCTTGGACTCATTTCTTCCTCTATAACATGAGGCAGATGGGTTAGGTCATTTCCAGAGTTCACTACAGCTCTATTAACTATGATTTTAAATACTTCCATGTTTATTATTCTACCAGCCTATCTTTTCTCAAACTAGCCTTGTGTTCTAAATTAAATATTTTTAAGCCCATGGACAAGATTTAATGTCATCAAGCATCAACATTATTTAAGTCAAAACTGACTTATAAAAATGAGTTTTATTGGAAGAAAGGAATGCATTTAGAGTTTTGAAATGTTTGTACATGTGTGCTGTGCGTGTGCGTGTGCGTGTGTGTGTGTGTGAGCTTGGTTTATATGTTACTTTCTTTCTAATGAGCAGGAAAACATATTTGAATACTATCTTCATTTAAGATAGTATAAGACCTGGAAGAAACCTTTTAAGACTCATTTTTAAACTATGTTTATTTTTCCCATAAAAAAATTAAAGCTATGCCATAGACTTTTTAATGTGATCAAAGTTTTTTTCTAATGTATTATTTTTGTTTCTTAATTTTTATTTTATTGTTTTTACATGTACTTACATGTGTATACATTATTTGGGTCACCGCCCCCTCCCCCATTTTTAAATGTTAATTATTTTGAGTGTTTCTTTTAAAAGGATTATAACAGATTAACTAGTTCATACATAGAAACAAAAGAATAGTAACTATAACAACACAGAAAACCCTTCTTCCAATCTGAGTAGATACAGCTATACTTCAGCATATTGATGCCATTGAGAAATTCAGATGTAGCTTACAATTTTAGTCTAAAATAATCATATGAGTATGGCTAAAGAAATTTCTAAAGAAAAACATATTTTAGGGCTTATTTATAACTAAAATATATGCCTGTTTGTCAGACCAAGTGGACCAATTTTTTTAAGTAGCCAGTAATTATATATTGATTTTTTTTAAAAGAAAGTTACTATTTTAGAAATAATCTTTTGGTGTCTTAATTGCATCTATTTTTAAAAACGACTTACTAATTTGTTGAACTATCTGAAGAAATGTCCCTCCTATACAGTAAATAAACTCATGAACTGATTTATGTTATGAAAAAATGCTCTCTGTGGCAGAAGTACGTATTTTGAAAATGTAGGGATTAGCGCATACTCAGGCTCAAATGGGCAGAATGCCTTTTAGCATAGGGGTATTGGTGAATGCCCAGGTGAAGGAGAAGCAAAGATGATTACTGGTGCATTTTCTCCACCAAACTGGGACTGGGAGGGTGACCAAGCAACTTAGCAGTGGCAGTAGCCACTTCAGAACCATGAAAGATGATGTTAGCATGCTCAATGTACAAAATTTAACTGTAGTAGGTGAAATAAAATCCAGACTCTAAAATGTTTACGATCAACGAGTGTCCTTTTTCTTTTCCGTAAACACTTGGCTCATTACTATATGTTCATCCAACCTCTCTTTCGACAATTTTAGCTCACAATTGCAAGTAAAGTTTTACTGAAAAAACTTGCAACTGCTGTTGTCCTACCATTCTTATTACTGAGGGTCGCAACCTCAGGACTTTAGAGTAAGACACACACACACACACACACACACACACACACACAGACACACGCACACACCTTTTTTCTGAATTCACCCAGGCATCCAGAGCAGAAAAGATGAAAAAGTTGAAAACAAAGATGAATTTATGCAGGCTATTGTCTACAGGCAGTTTAATATTTATGAAATGTCTGTCTCGCACACACATACACACATGCACACACACTCTTTAGGATCCAGTTACAAGCACTGCGTCATCCTCTAGATCACATGGTAATTGTTGCTATTTCAAGGATCAAGTGGCATAAAGCTCCCCCCACCCCCACCCATCCCACTCCCTTCTTTTGGTACCATATAGCCCAGAAGAGTGATTGTTGTGTGATGGAGTGAGACCAGGCTCTAGGATCCAACCCTCTGCTAGAAACTAGGCTCTTCGGTGGGGTGGCGCGCGAGTATTCTCACAGAGTGATTGGGAAAGGGGGACGGGGGGAGGGGGTCTCAGGGGAGGAAGGGCAGCTCTAATTGGTTTCTCAATGAAAGATAATCACCTATTCCCCGGAGAGCCTAGGGCTTAGCACTCTGTTCTCCACTCATCCTCCCTTCGGTGCTTTTAGTCCATTCAGCAGAAGTGGATCGAAGCAAGCGGCTCCTCACCCCGCATTAGGGCCAGCGCGCCGCTGCGCTCGGTGCTTAGCGCCCCATCCACTGACTCCCTCCGCGCTCGCCTCGTCCGCCTGTCGTCCCAGCCGCCGCCGCCGCCGCCGCCGAAAAAGTTTCGCGGAGGGGCTCAGGGAAAAATGAGCGAGCTGGAGGAAGACTTTGCCAAGATTCTCATGCTCAAGGAGGAGAGGATCAAAGAGCTGGAGAAGCGGCTGTCAGAGAAGGAGGAGGAAATCCAGGAGCTGAAGAGGAAGCTGCACAAATGCCAGTCGGTGCTGCCGGTGCCCTCCACCCACATCGGCCCGCGGACCACCCGGGCGCAGGGCATCTCCGCCGAGCCGCAGACTTACAGGTCCTTCCACGACCTCCGACAGGCATTCCGGAAGTTCACCAAATCTGAAAGGTAGGCGCTGGGCGCCGCTGGCCAGGGCAGCGCCGAGGCCACTGCTCCTGGCCGTGGGCCGGGCGCGGGTCGGGGCTAACGATGAGGGGCGGGGGGCTGCTCAGCGCAGGGCGCCCCCTGCTCGCCGCGGCGCGCCGAGTGGGGGTGGCCCCGCGGCCCGGGAATGGGAAGTGTTTATTTTTATTCTGCCCATCACGTGCTGTGCTAGTCTCCGCCGGGCTGGGAAAGGCGAGCTCCTCGGGGAGACGCGCCCCTGTGGCGTGGGGGTGGGGAGAAGGACCAGGGAAAGTTTTCTCGCGCCTTCTAACTTGGCCACTCTGTCCCCGGCGGCATTCACTCCGGCTTTCCTTTGTGCGCTTGGATAAGGGGAGCCCATCCATGGTGTGTCCATCCCCGGGCCTGGAGAGCTTCCCCGAGTCGACCCTGAGACCCAGGCCGCCCGGCAAACTCGAAGGGTTCGCCCGAGTCTCCCCGAGAGGAGGAGGCTGGACAGAAACGAGTTCAGTTTGGGGTCTGAACTTGTCCAGGGCTCGAGCTCTGCTGGGAGG